GTGATAACATCCCCGCTCGTTGGATTTGACTCCTCCGGGTAACCTGAAGTGGCTATTGATGCAGTGAGTACCATTGATGGCACTGTGGGGTCCTTATCAGGCATAGGAAGAGCAGACTTTTTAATCGACACTTTCCCAATTTTGGACAGCACTGCTGTTCTGTCTTCTGGCGAGTGAGTGATTTCCTCCTCGCTTTTAGGATTTGACTCCTCAACATTGCTAGTACTTGCTAATGATGCTTTGGGTACTGTCTTAGGTGTTTTAGTGTCCTTGTCGGGGCCGGTTTTGACATCCCTTTCAATCGGCACCTTCCCAATTTTGGAAAGGGCAGCTGCACCTTCTTTTGGCGAGTCAGTGGTATCTTCCTCGATCTTAGGATTTGACTCCTTTCCTGTAAAAGACGTCCCATTTTTCCACGGCCAGCTCAGCATTTTGACGATCAAGAATTTCCAGTATACGTTCATTAGCCAGTTTACTGCCCCATCCTTTTATGTAGACAGTGGACTTTAAGGAAGCTCGCTCTTCTTTGCCAGTCCCAGCTTAGCGCCGTCCCAGGGAGGAGGGATACTTTCCACCAAGTTCTTTAGGGTGCTCACACATTGGTGAGATGCCAACCTCATCAACATCACTCCCATTCTGAACTCGCAGCTCACGCTCTCTATTGGTTGTTGGCCCTTTGAAGCGATTGCGTGTTCCACTATCTTATTGTTCACCAAATCTTCTACCTTACTCTGTTGGTCTATTGGAATTTTGCCTGTCGGATTACCGGCATCGTAAACTGCATAACAGAGATCGTCCCGGTGTCTTCTTTTGGCAAATTTGACGTAAGATGGTGGCTCTTTTCCTTTTCCACTGTCTGCCTATCTTTCCTCGCTTTTCGGGGATTCTTTTGAGATACCCTTACCTTCGAGGTTGATTTCGCCGACGTGGTCGTCTTCGGGATATCTATCTTGGCGTTGTCATCCTTACTCTCAGGATTCTGACTTGAGGTTCCTTTGAGTGAAGTATGTCTTGGCTTCGACCGTTTATTAGAAGACGGGGAGCTCTTTTTCTTCTTAGGTTTATTCTCAGTTGTCAACTCTTCGGGAGACCTGATCCTCTTTGTCTCAGATCTTGTGAGAGAGTCCGATTTTTCCTTTGGAGTGTTGTTGGATTGACTAACTATGATTTCCTGAAGCATCTCTTTCAGCTTCCTCCTCTGTGCTCCAGATAGTCTTTTCTTAGTAATATGTAGTTTAGCTATGCTATCACTCACCTGTTTCACCATTTACCCTACTTCATCCTTTTTGGTATTTGCTATACTGGTGTTGTTATTATCTTCTGTGGATTCAGAGTCGGAACCCTCACCTATATTTAAAGGCTGAGGTAGCTTAGAGCTCTCTCCGAGTACATCCTTCTCTTTCACCCCTATGTTTTTGCTAATGGCATGCTGTACACTTTGTCTTAAATGTCCACAATTTTGTTCAACAATAAATGGCTTAAGTATAATTCAAGGCAAGGTACAATTCAACTTAAATGCTTTATTATGAAAACTAAATCGCATTTTATTTTTGTAAAAGGTGTAGGGTATTATATGGTCGGACTCGCCCGACTATAATTTCTTACTTGTTTAATTTCATTTGACCTTGTTTTAAAATGTATACAAATATTGTAATTGAACAGAATTTGAACAGGGGTTTCATGAAACAAGTCGAATAAACTTGCACATTTACACAAATGGGAAACTTAAGCGTATAAATGACACTTCGTTTGTTCAAAACTTTATTTAATCCGATCTGGTACAGATAAACCATACAACTGATATAAACATGGCGATACCATAATATTTTTCATAGTAAAGGTATATTGCTTATGTCTTAAACCTTATATGGGTTACATGTTTACCATTTAATGGATATTTGAAAGTTTCAATGGTTCTAAATAATATACTATAATATGTTAACATAGTTATCATTATTTATTTGTTGTAAAAGGATTTATTTTTCAGAGAATCATTTTCAAATTTATAATTGTCATAAACATATAAATGTTTACAGTAACTAAAATATTCATGAAATTCAATAAAAATTACAATTGTTTGTTTATGACAACAAAATATTGTTACAAAAACATAGAATAGTTTCATAACCATGCCGAACCATTACCAAATTTACACAGACACGAATAGAAAACACAATTCAGTCTCATATGAAAAATCATAGAAGAAGGTTGTGTTGTCGCTCGTTTCTTGGTTTTTGCAATGAAAATGAACGAAAATATATTAAATCGTACATACGCAGCGAGCTCTCTTGTTTTTCTTATTTCACACGTACTTAACTTCCAAACTAAGAGAATGAGAGCTTGGAAGTTTTTTGATTGAGTTACACATCGAGAAATCTCTGATGTTAATGATCGAAAAAATTGAAACAAAAACTGAATTGAACATTACCCTCGAAAATGCATTTATTTTCAATTTTAGATACAAGGTAAACCTTAATATATACTCCTTGTAAATTAAAAAAGAAATAATGGAAGATTTTAATAAATTAAACATATAATGGATCGTTAGGTGTATAAAAATATCCTCCAACAATTTTAATTCATTAATTGAAAATATTCACAGGATAATGTTGTAAATAGGATTGTATGTCACGAATTAACAGTAGCAGGTATTACATTTGTTTAGGCGTTTATGTCGTTGATTTATCTTTGTTAAAGTTCCCATTATTTTTTACAATCACTAAGAAAAAATTCTTCAAATAATTTTTATACCCTCCACCACCATGAGTGGTGATAGAGGGTATATATAACTTTGTCATTCCGTGTGTAACACCAAGAAATATTCATCTGAGACCTAACAAAGTATATATATTCTTGGTCCTTATGAAATTCTGAGTCGATTTAGCCATGTCCGTCCGTCTGTCCGTCCGTCTGTCTGTGTAATTTTCACAAAAACTATGCAATATAATTCCATGAAAATCATCATACATTTTGTTTATGTCAAGCTCTTTGTTGATGTCAAAGATGATGAATTCTGGGCAAATTGGAAAGGATTATTCTCTGAGCCTATGACCAAATCTTTTGTATATTTTAGTTCTCAGTTTTAGGTGTACAATGATATTCCAAATGAATGTAAAAAGAAATGAAAACAACAACAGCTCATAAGTGATTTGGGATATTTATTGCTTATTGTATTTTTAAGACGGATTGTCTTACCAGTACGAAAGTTCAAGTTGAAAAAAAGACCAACGCTTTTATTGAATTTGCGGAAATAAGTATCTATGACATTTTTTAACATTTAACGAAAATTGGAACTTATTTTGTCTGAAAGAGATAGCACTTTTAGTACTAATAAAGTATGCAGTATATGTATATCTTTTAATATTACAAGAATAGGGTTTTTAAGATGTAAATTTGGGAATTAATGCCAAAATATATTTAATATATTTTGACATTAACATTACCGCCCGCCTTGCATCATTAATGCAAAGAAAACGAATATTATTAAATACTAGTCTTAGATACTTATTTGCAAATGGAATAAACAACTGGAAACGACAATATGCAACTGTAATATTATGTTATTTTTCTGTGTATATATATATATTTTTTTTTTTTTAATTCAAATTGTTTTTTTTTTCACAAACTTCAATTTACATACATAGGTATCAGATAATACAGTATTTAAGGAAATACATAGTTAGCTTAATCTAGTGAGTTTATGTAAAAATAAGGTTACATATGTATCTATTTTGCTTTATTTCAATAGTGCAGAATAATAAAAGAGGATATTATTTTTTTTTTTTTATTAGAAGTAATTAGGACATGTGCCATAAATAGCCCAGCCAAATATGGTGCTTTGTGCGGTTGGCAATCCGACTTTAGTGAATACCCCCTCGCACATAACCTTTGGGTATATATCTACCCCTAAAACCATGTCGATACCTGCGGATTCAAAAAACTTCGGATCTGCCAAAAATAAGTCCCTAAAGTTCTTTTTAAAAGTTTCCTCGAGAGATTGAGAAGGAGTTTTGATAGTAATGCGGTTATCGACACGAAATATTGCTTCAATTTTGGAATTAGAATCGATTCTCGGTTTAATTTTCAAAGGGCATAAAGTCTCCTCTTGCATAGTTAATATTGTTAAGTTTATATAGTAAGTTTATATAGTATAGTCTGGTCACCTTACCGTGTTTTGACGTATTTTTTCGTGTGTTTCGCAAAATTTCCGGAAAAATATTAAAATTTAATTGTTTAATCTTGTGTATTATTTATATACGTGTCTCAATTGTTATATTTATTCATTCGTCTTTTATGTAAAGTTCGAGTTTTTCTCCGAGTTATTGTTCATTTGTTTATTTTAAATAATTAATTTATATTGATATCTGTTGTTTACATCGTCTACATTCATACATACATACATATTGTGCTTTTCTATTCATATGTTTTTGTATTGATCATATGTTTTTGATATATTGTTTATCCTGGCAATTCTGGAACTGCATTATCGACTAATTTGGTTTGTGTATTTGATAAGCTGTAAGAGAGCATTACCATTTTCATCTATAATTTACTGTGTTGTCCAACCTTTAACAATTATGGAATGTTCTAACGAAAATTGTCAAATTTCTAGCAATGACCGTATGGTATCCTGTTGGCTATGTGATGGGTGCTACCACTTAAAGTGTAGTGGCCTAAAAGCTCGAGATGCCGATGCTCTTGCAGATCCCCAAAAATCCCTGCACTGGACTTGTCCAAACTGCAAAAACGTAAATGTTGAATTTTATAACCTTTTTAAAAATTCTAAAGATGAATTTGACAAGATTTATAAGGAATTTATTTCATTGCAAGCTAAATTCGTTAAATTTGGTGAATTATTTACTAAATACCCAAATTTGGAAAAATTTTCATCATCCGTGAATATTCTATCTCCTAAACGGAAGAAGACGAACTCTGGAGCTGTAGTACCGCATATTACCTACCCACATTCTTCTGGATTAACATCCTCGTCCGATATCAATATGGATCTTCCCCTAGGAAATATAAACCTGAATTTGAATCCTTCTTTCCCTGTTGAGGAAAATGTTCTTCGATCAGAAAATCATCCCCGTTCCCCTATGGAATTCACAACTATGAACGCGTTGGGTGTTGACACAGGAACAGCATGTATACCTGCTATTTCTGAAAATCTACCAGTTATTCAACCAACTCGAGCTTCTGACAGCATTCATCCTCTTAGAGTTGTTCTACCTAAGAAGACTATTTTCATTTCACGTTTTGCTTTCGATACTTCAACAGACGATATTGAATATTATATCAAAACTAAATTAAATCGTGAAGTCGATATTATAATCCATAAATTCAAATATTCGCAGCCGAGAACTATTGCATCATTTAAGGTAATGGTGCCTTCTGAAATATTTGACCACTTAATTAATCCTAATTTCTGGCCTGAGAATGCACTGATTCGCGAATATATCTACAGAGACAACCAAAGACCGTCTAACACAGCTCAATTGCCTTCCCGCTCCACTATTCTTTCAAAAAACTGATAAACAACCGTGATAGTCAATTAAATTTAATATATCAAAATGTCAATGGTATTAAATCCAAAATCTGTAACTTATATATTGATAGCTTTGATTTAAATCATCAGAACTTACAACGAAGATTAATAATGGCTTCATAAACGGACTCTACACTGATGTCATATACACTGATTTTAGCAAAGCCTTCGACAGAGTTAACCACCATCTTCTTTTACATAAATTGTACCTAATGGGTTTTACCAACTGCTGTTTGGAATGGATAAAATCTTATCTGATATGTCGTGAACAGCGTGTGCGTTTTAATAATTCCTCGTCTAAAATTATTTCTGTCAATTCTGGAGTTCCGCAAGGTAGTCATCTCGGACCAATTCTATTCTTGTTGTATATTAATGACCTTCCTACTACATTAAATTCTTCCAATATTCTTATGTACGCAGACGATGTAAAATTATTTTCAAGCTGTGCGGATTCTATTGTTCAAAATTCTTTACAACAGGATTTAAACTTATTTTTCGTTTGGTGCCAAATTAATTTATTGGACATTAATTTAAAGAAATGTAAGCATATGCGTTTTTCCAGAAAAATTAGACCAATAGGCTGTTATTTCCTTGGTGATTATATGTTGGATGTTGTTGACGTTTTTTTGGATCTTGGTGTACTGTTTGACACGAAATTATCTTTTGTTGAACATATAAATATGTGCACAAATAAAGCCCGTGGTGTACTTGGTTTTATTAAACGATGGTCAAGAGAATTTTCCGATTCATCTATATCGAAACATTTATATATAACGCTTGTGAGACCTATAATCGAGTATGCATCAATTGTCTGGGATCCATTTTATAATGTTCATAGTGAACGTATTGAGTCTGTTCAAAAACAATTTATGTTATTCGTTTTACGGAATTCTTATCCTAATCCTGCTATCCATCTTCCTCCATACAGTACTAGGTTATTGCAACTTAATCTACCAACTTTAAAAAGCCGCCGTACAATGCTGAATGTTTTATTTCTTATCAATCTGATAAATGGCAATATCACTTCGGAATTTCTTTTAAACAACTTATTTTTTAATGTTCCTCAACGTCCAACTCGTTACTATCAGCCGTTATCAATTCAATATTTTCAACAAAATTTTGCTAATGCTGATTCGTTTCGTCGTATGTGTCTAAATTTTAATGAGCTGTACAACATTATTGATACATCCTCGAGTACTAAAATTATTAAGCGAAATTTACTCTCATATTTAAATAGATTGTATTAATTCTACTTATTTTATGTTTTGTAATAATTAAATTGTTTGTCTGTAAGGAGTAATTCCATAGACTAAATAAATAAATAATAATAATAATAACTTCTCTACCAGCTTTTTTGATATGCGGCTCACAGAAGATGCCGCATCAAGAAGACAACGAGCATAGGAAGTAGTTGAGGCGATTTTAACTAGCACCGTTGGAAGAAGTATGACGTTATTTTGACGAATTAAGGAGGATAGGGTAGCCTTCTTCGTTTCGGAAGCTACTTTTGTTTGAGGTCTAGTGGTTGCCCTTGTAATAGAGGTTAGAGGACTGGGAGACCGTGATTGGGTTGGATAAAACTCCTTAAGTAAACGAGGATGGATATGTAGTAGCGTATGGTGATATTTTTGACAATGTTTGCAGCCATACTTAGAGATACAAGTGCCCTGCGAGTGATTATGGGCTAGGCAGTTTTGACAATATTTATGATTACGAACTGCACGTATGCGTTCTGTAATATTCATAGCTAAAAATTGACGACAAGTTCGTAGTGGATGAGGAAGAGAGTAGATACGACACAAGAATGAATTTTGTTGTTTTGAAGGTCGACTGCGAGATTCAAATTTTGGCTTCTTGTGGGATTTGGTTTTAGTCATCGTAATCTGGAAAAATGTAAAAAAAAAATGCTTAAGTTGTAGAACATAAACTCGTGAAATTTCTTAGGCTTCAAATGGCAAATATATCAGTTTTGTAATTGGCCTTGTAATTATTCCTCTTTGAGTAATTACATCAGCAACTCTAACTCGATGATCGGATCCTTCATATACCTTTTTAATTCTACCAAGTCGCCAAGAGTTGGGAGGGAGGTTTTCTTCTTTTATGACAACCATTGAGTTTTCAGTCAGATTATCTTCAGGTTTTTTCCATTTTGTTCGTTTATGTAGCTCCTTGAGATACTCATTTTTCCATCGAGTACAAAGGTTTTGGTGAACGAGTTTCATACGTTGCCATCGGTTTACAATAGAAATGGGAGTTTCGGATATAGGAGGATCTACAGGAGTAAGGAATGGACCACCTATAAGAAAATGGCCGGGAGTAAGTGCAGCGAGATCAGATGGATTTTGAGAAATTGGAGAGAGAGGCCTAGAATTAAGGCAGGCTTCAATTCGACTTAGTAAAGTGGAAAATTCTTCGTACGTGTATTTAAAATTTGCAGCAACTTTGCGGAAATGTAACTTGAAGCTTTTAACCCCCGCTTCCCAAAGTCCTCCCATGTGTGGGGCCCCGGGAGGTATAAAGTGCCAGGTAATATTTTGGTGTGAATAGCGGGCCGTTATAGCCTGCCGGGAAGTTTGAAGGACTTCTTTAGCTAGTATCTTTGAGGCGCAAACAAATGTCGTGCCATTATCTGAATGGAGATGAAGTGGGCAGCCTCGTCGCCAGCGACTGAAGACTAGAAAAGCATCTGTAGATAAGCTTGTAGTAGCTTCCAAGTGTATAGCCTTGGTTGAGAAACATACAAAGATGCATACATAACCTTTAGTAAGGCGGCAAGTTCGACAAGCATATGCCTTTATATCAAAAGGCCCTGCGAAATCCAGACATGTATGTGTAAATGGACGTGATATTTTGGTCCTTTCTGGAGGCAAAGCAGCCATTATTTGCATTTGAAATTTTTTCTTGTGGATAATACAGGGTTTACATTTATTTATGGTTGCTTTTATAATGTTCTTAACCTTTGGAATCCAATATTCGGTTCTGATAAGCCTCAGAACCAACTGATTTCCACCATGAAGGCTTATGAGATGGACAAATCTAACCAATCTGTTCTGTTCAATTCTGAATCAAGGAACGGATTTAGATTCATTATAGAACTTGAGGATGGTATTTCTTGTTTGTGGGATAAAGATTTGTACTCAATGGGATAGCTCACCTTTTGACGCAACGATATAAGATTATTACGGACAAATTTAATTTCGGAACTAGAAATAACAGTAGAATCCTTATGGAAGTTAAGACGATACCTTGAATGAGTATTGAAATAAAAACGATATACATATGCAATCACACGCATAGCTTTAGGGAAGGAAGAAAAACGTTCAAGTAAATCTTCGTAATTGTTAAAATATGAAAAGTGAGTTTTGACTGATTTCCTTTCCATTTCGATCTCAGGAAAGTCCTTAGTACTATTACTTTTCCAATTCTCGTGAGAACTTCGTAACCAGTGTGGGCCATACCACCAAAGCTCATTGTTAATTAGATCTTGTGGATACAGTCCACGACTTGCTAAGTCTGCCGGATTAGATTCTGAAGCGACATGATTCCACATTGAAATACTAGTGATCTGTGTGATTTTGGAAACTCTATTGGCTACGAAAGTTAGCCATGAACAGGCTGGTTTTGCTAACCACGAAAGGACAATCATGGAGTCTGTCCAACAAAATATTGAATAATTGTTTATATCGAACTTTAGGAGAATACTATCGACCATTTCTGCCAGTAAAACAGCTCCACAAAGTTCTAACCTGGGAATTGATAGGGTTTTGACCTGGGCTACTTTTGTCTTAGAGGAAATCAAGTGACTAGAAATCGAATTGCCATTAACGATGCGTATGTACAAGGCAGCGGCGTACGCCTTTTCAGAAGCGTCGCAAAACCCATGGAATTCGACAATGGCACTTGGACTATAGTTTACCCAACGGGGAATATTGATATTATTTATGTTTGTGTAGTTCGCTTGAAATAAGTTCCATTGAGATAGGGAATCGGGAGTTAGAACTTCATCCCACTCTGTTCCTTCAATCCAAATTCGTTGCATTAGGATTTTTGCCAATATAACACATGGTGAAAGCCATCCCGCTGTATCGAAGAGTCGAGCAATCTGTGATAAAACCTCCCTCTTAGTCCATTTTTGAGTCTCTGGGAATGGTTTTGCCGTAAAATAAAATGAATCTGAAAGGGCATTCCAACGGATGCCCAAAGTTTTAGCTGTACTTTTATCGTCAAATTCTAAAAAATCCTCACAGAGAAGATGTTCTGAAGGGATTTCTTGAAGAATTTCTCTACAATTTGACGTCCATTTTCTTAAGGAAAACCCGGCCGATTGAAGGGATAGAATTAGCTCATTTCTGGACACAATAGATTCTGATATCGTATGTTCACCTGCCAAAACATCGTCTACATACATAAAATGTCGTAGAATATTACTGCCTTTAGGATAAAGCATTTCAATGTCGTCAGCCAGTTGATGAATCGTCCGGATGGCAAGATAAGGAGCACAGTTTATTCCGAATGTTACGGTTTTAAGTTCGTAATCTTGAACAGTATCAAAAGGATTTTCACGAAATAAAATCCTTTGATATTGCGAATGACTGGAATCAACTAGAATTTGCCTATACATTTTTTGGATATCCGCGTTGAAAACGAATTTAAAGAATCTCCATTTCAAAATGAGAATTGTTAAATCACTCTGCAAAATTGGACCAGGGTGGAGTATATCGTTTAGACTTAGACCATTGGAGGATGGAGATGAAGCATTAAAAACTACACGCACCTTTGTAGTTGTACTGTCTGGTTTCAAGACAGCATGGTGCGGTAGATAATAGTGTAGTGGAAACCTAAAATTACATGGAGGATCTACCTGTTTCATGTGACCAAGTTGAAGGTATTCCTGAAGTACATTATCATATTGTACTTTGAACTCCGGATTTCGAATTAATCGCGACTCATTGCGAAAAAACTGAGCCATTGCGCTCGTTCTAGACTGGCCTAAGGTTAGATTTTCGGGATATCCATCCTTAAAGGGAAGGCGTACAACATATCTACCTTCCTTGTTTCTCGTTGTTGTTCTTTTGAATAGGTTTTCGCAAAATTCATCGACTGAAGACCTCAAGTTCTTCATAGGAAGATTCTCCACCTCCCAGAAACGAGAAATTTCTTTATCCAAAGAGATTTCGCAGAACAAAGAAGTCAAATTAGATAACGTAGGAGAAGAATCTTCAGAAATTGGTCCTGTGAGAATCCATCCAAAGATGGTTTCTTGTGCCATTAGAGAGTCACAAATCTGATGTTTTACTCCAGACAACATAATCGATGGAAAAAGATCACCACCGATTAAAATGTCAATGCACGAACTATTATAAAACTGAGGATCAGCAAGTTGCAAATCGGACAAATTAGTAAAATTTGATGGACGGAAATTTCTAGAGGGAAGTTTTTCCGACAAATGTGGGACAACTAAAGCTGTGACAGGAAGTTCAACACGCGCACTATATTCAGAACCTAGTTTAAACATAGATTCCTTTTGGACACTGGCAGATATGGAATTATTTAATCCGGAAACTTGTGCATTTGTGCGCTTATAAGGAAGTTGTAATAAGTTAAATAATCTTTCCGAAATAAATGAACCCTCAGAACCAGAGTCAATCACTGCCCGTGCCTTATATCTCATATTTGGAATGAGGACATCCACAATTGCCGTACCAAGTAGAACACCTTTAAAATTTGTCGCGAAGCATGACTGAATGACATCTGTTCCCAAACTAGAACTAGGAGTGGACTGTTCTTTTATGGAAGTGGAATTTGTTGAAAAGGGCGCAGAATGAGGATTCAATGCCATACTTGCACTTGTACTAGACGTTTGGGAAGGTAAAGTATCTTCTTGAGTCTTATGCAACAATGTGTTATGTCGTTTATTGCAGCGATAACAGTTAGTATTACTTCCGCAGTATTTCACAGAATGTGTTTTTGAAAAACAGTTTATACAAAGGCAAATTTTCTTGACTTGTTCAAATCTTTGAGAATAATCGAAACTGAGAAATTTAGGGCATTTACGAATTGGATGTGAGATATTTGGACACAAATGGCATTTAGGAACAGAAACATTTTGTTTGATTTCTATTTTATTTTGACCGGAAACATTGTTTTGAAACGTATTTATCTTTCTAGAGCATTTATTATTAGGTGTTGGCCTGGTACCTGTTGGCTTTAATGTAACGGTGTACTGGATGTCAGAGACAGACTCAAGCGTACGAAAACGATTAGTTAAAAAAGTATCGAAGGTAGACCATTGTGGAATCCAAGTTTTATCGGCTAAGCTCTCTTCCCATAGAGTAAGTGTTAACTTAGGCAATCGATTGGAACATATAAAAACAAATATTGGGTCCCAACTCTGAACATCGACCTTATACAACTGGAGAATGGAAATGCATGAGTTAATATCTCGTTAGAGTTGTTTAATCTCATTTCCCGACTCCAATTTAATAGCCTCTAAACTAAATAGTTTTCTGAGTTGCCCATTAACTAAAATTCTGCGATTCTCGAAACGGTTCCAAAGGTTTGACCATTCTAGATTGAAACCTTCATTAGTGAGCGGACACTTTTGCACGATTTCGCTTCTCCCTTCATCTTCTGCGATAAGTGGAACAACTTTTCGACCGGACTGAGTCGTGAGTTTTTTATATACATTGCTGAAAATAAATCTCGGAATGTGGGTCAAGACATATAGTCACCACAGAAAATTTCAATTTTACATGGAGGTAAATGAAAGTTATTAGTAGATGAAGTTGTCTCGATAGGAGCCGATAGACTTTGAGATTCAGAAAAAGGAACAGAAGGGATTTTAGGTGCGTTAGCTTCGCGAAGGCTTTCAGTTAGCTGGGATAATCTCACTAAGCAATTACAGTAAGTACTATATGTACTCTTAAACTTAACTTTAAAAGTTTCTAAACTCATTGACTCTCCGTCAGCCTGTTCCTCTTCGTTATCTCTGTCACTAAGAAATTTTTCATATGCCGCTTTAACTCTACTCCAGGTAGTCTTAAGTTCATATTTATGAACGTCTAATGCTTGGATAGAGTTGATGGGGTATCGACTGTCATTGAGATCGAAATCAAATTCTACAATGCTGTCTGCAAGACGTATAAAGTGGTCAATCGACATATTGACTAAGATCTGCCAGAAGAAATTCGTTATACACTAAGGACAGAGAATATGACTGTAGTCCAAAATCAATTCAAATTATTTATGAAGACCAACTTTCAAAGCTTTAATTTCAACAATAAGATTTAATGTTTATCAAAAGCTATATTTTGTTTTAGAAGAATAAATACCTTTACTTCTCTGTACATAAAGGTTGCTGTTCATAAAGCTTTAAGTTAAATGGATTTTAAAGATTGTTTACAAATATCTTTAAAAAAAATCCCATAGATTCTGGTATACGGTTCTCAAATCGTTCCAATAAAATAAATAATCTTAACCCGCTACGAGTTAAAATTAGTTTCGAAAAAAAATTAACGAAATAAGATGTGGATAAACTTAAGCCGATATGTGTTGTCAAATTTAAATAGTAAAATAATATCAATAGAAGTTATTGGCCAGAGGTAAACAACAAAATAAAAAATGCATTTGTTTATTCATTGATAATTCCAAAATGGGTTAACATAATTGTTTCCAATAAGAAATTCATCAACACAAATAAGATGAAACAGAAGTCTGTATATTAGGTGTCTTCGCATACCACACCAAGAACAAATATTTTCCAATTGATAGAAACTAATGAAAATTGTTATAAATTAATTAATTTTCTTTTTTCAAATGTATGTAAGATTTAAATATCAATTATTTAAGTACAAATTATAGGGAACAGAAATTTTATATGTATGCCTAATGCACATGTATATTATATACATATGTACGTATATTTTCAATGCATTTTTTACAATAAATTACTAAGAGTGATGATTGCATTCCAATCACCTAATGAAGAGAGTGATAAAGAGATAAATTGCAAGAGAGTTCTGTGCTTGTCTCATAAGTCCAATATGCAATTGAATAAAAACCAATGATGGAATAGAAATATAATCTCTTTTAAGTTTATAATCAAAAGAGAGTTACCAAACACTTCTTACTTCTTGTACTGACCGGGAAAACCAACGATAATAAATTTAGTTATCACAAAACGTTTGTAAAAGGAACATATTTATTTCTCCTTGTATGATTATGAATAAATGAAAAGAACTTCAATAAAAAATGTTTTTTTTTTGTTTTTGGGAAATTTTGAACTACTTTGAAAGTTTTGGATCAAATGTTAAACTAGCCAAGAAGTATTGTTAATTAATAATTAAAAAAATCTAGCATATAAAATTGTTGTTCAACCAGTTTTAAAAGTAATGAAAGTATTATATGTGTTTTGAGAGGACAATTTTAAAATTAAACATTTTCGAAGAGAGAGGTCGAGAAGAAAATCTGCTGGAATAGAAAGGGAATGGAATTGCAAACATACATATGTGCAATGTACATTCATACGTAGAAACATTAAAAGAATAGAACAATGTGCTTCTGATTTAATGAAATTGAAATATACCAGGAACCTTTAGAAATGAATCGAATCGGACACTAGTCAAGTAAATGCGATAATATGTATGGATGTACAAAATTTTAGTCAGATAAATAATTTATCATAATTATAAAAATTATTTATTACGACAGAATTTCAGTTTTCTTCACTACTAAATATGTTTTGTAAATACCTTGTTAATCACACAATGATGAAAACTTCTTTCCCTCTTTAGCTGACTTGGTATTAATTTTCAATGTTTGAAGAATATTCCCAATATGGATGACAATTAACTCAATTTAAACTCAATATTCCATATGTATATTAAGTGTTTAATTTTTATATGTTTTTTAATTATTCAGTTTAATTTTTCCTCAATTTTTGTACGAAATACAATATTACACTATTTGCATAGACCATTGCTCTTTTGCACTATTAAATTAATTAAACAGAAGTTTATTGCAAAATAGACACGAACCTGTTTTTCTCTATGTTCCTTCTATGTTTGTATGTTTGTAGATTATCCCGTAACGGAGTAGAATTCTCAGAGAGTCAATCAGTTACTTCCAATGTTCTCCGGTTCGATGGATCAATGTTTATGCCATGCTCTTTGTTGATGTCAAAGATGATGAATTCTGGGCAAATTGGAAAGGATTATTCTCTGAGCCTATGACCAAATCTTTTGTATATTTTAGTTCTCAGTTTTAGGTGTACAATGATATTCCAAATTAATGTAAAAAGAAAAGAAGACAACAACAGCTCATAAGTGATTTGGGATAATTATTGCTTATTGTATTTTTAAGACGGATTGTCTTACCAGTACGAAAGTTCAAGTTGAAAAAAAGACCAACGCTTTTATTGAATTTGCGGAAATAAGTATCTATGACATTTTTTAACATTTAACGAAAATTGGAACTTATTTTGTCTGAAAGAGATAGCACTTTTAGTACTAATAAAGTATGCAGTATATGTATATGTTTTAATATTACAAGAATAGGGTTTTTAAGATGTAAATTTGGGAATTAATGCCAAAATATATTTAATATATTTTGACATTAACATATTTCTTTTTACACGAGAATTTTATTCCTGTTGAAAATTTACGTAATTGGTCCACAATTTTTTATACCTCCCATACAAAAGTACGTATTCCCGGAAAATTTGTTTATTGTTAATAACTTCCGTCAGAATGTTGATATCTTCATAGAACTCAATGCGTTTAATTTAATGATAAATATTCTAAAAATATTTTGGTTACATCTGGTGTACCTAGGCTTTCCAGATTTGAAATCGGCAAAAAACGTACATCGTAGTTAAAAAAGCAGTAAAATTGAGTAAAAAACAGTACAATTGTTTATTTTAAAAATTTCAATTAAATTGTTCTAAAAACGCGAAAATTAAAATTAATTCAATTGCAAATCATTTTTTTAATATTCGTGCTATTAATTTACATATGTATATTTTTTCTTTAAAAGTGTAAAATTCACCAAAATTTTGTTTGGTTTGTTTACATTTTCAAATATCAACCATATGTTGTGAATATGTTTTATATCTTTTACTAGAGAAAAAATATCCAGTAAAAAAAAAAAAATTCTCTATCAACGAACTGTCACTTTTATCTTTCCCTTACTCTCTGGTTGCAAAGTTCGTAAAATACGCTAGCAGAATTCAGTAACAAATCGTACAAATTGTTACAAATTACAATTATTTTCTAAATGGAAGCGTTCTTATTCTTATATAAAAAAAGTTATATAAAAACTGTTCTATGCGTTTTCTTAAAAGACAAATTTCTTACCAATTTTTACAACTGCTAAAAAAACGTTTGTCTAAAAACCCATACAATTTTCATTCTGCTTTTCAAATTTTTCATTTAACTCTTTTATTAGTTATTAAAACATATTAATTATTACACCGTGCAACAGTAATTTTCACGCATGAAAAAATCTATGTGTACAGGAAACTGTGGACCATTAGTATTAACTCTGTGTACTCAGTTTTTCATAATCAGCTCTTATGCTCTTGTAAAAGGACTTTAAAGTATAAAGGACATACATACGACTTCAAAAGGTGGAATTCCAAATTTATATAAAAAAGCTGGTATTAATATTAATATC